TCATTCACACATTTTAAATAAATACTTGTCTCAAGCCCACTGGGTGTGGTGGTACACATTTATAAGCCCAACCCTCAGGAGACTGAGGCAGGAGGATGGTGACTGCTAGGCCAGTCCAAGGTACATAGCAAAACTTTAGATAAGTCAAAATAAACAACCCCATCTCAAAATTTTAGCTGCTTATATTTCCTTTCTTTTCTTTCTTTTCTCTTTCTTCTCTCCTTCAGACAGAACCTCACTATATAGGTTGGGCTTAGTAACACATCTAAGTGAATGCCGGAATTAAAGGCATGACCCACTGTGCCTGGATGGGTCCCAAGTATATATATATATATATATATATATATATATATATATATATATATACATATATTTCCATGGGATATGGCTCAGTTGACAGAGTGCTTTCCTGGCCCTGGGTTATATCTGTAGTACTGCATAAAACCAGGCCTGTTGGTACAGCCTGTAACCCCAGCACTCAACAGACAGAGGCAGGAGATCAGGTCAGCCTTGATTATAATCCAATTCTGGACACCACAAAGTAGATAAATGAACACATACATTTAAAAATCCAAGCCAGGTGGTGGTGGCTCACACCTTTAATCCCAGCATTTGGGAGGCAGAGGCAGGAGGATTTTTGAGTTCAAGGCCAGCCTGGTCTGCAAAGAGAATTCCAGGATAGTTAGGACTACACAGAGAAACCCTGTCTTGAAAATCCCAAATAATTACATAAATAAATAAAAATCTAGTCCTGATACTGATTTAAAACCAGTGATTTGTTCTTTCCCCTGAATAAAAAACTTTGATCAAGTTTAAACCTGACTCTTTCTGAGGAACGGTGCTAATGGGCCCACACAGTTCTACGGCTCCTTGGAGGAGGTGGGTACCACTTCCCCTTTAACAGCACACCCCAGGCCTGTCTTGGAGATGAGAAGGCACAAGGCCCAGATGCACACTGAGGCACTCAGGCCTCGGTCACAGGATTCCACAGATGTACAATTTTTATTCTGTTCAGTAAAAATGTTTTGGATTCTTTTGGTTGAAAGTGACAGACATTCAATTTGAGTTGGGTGTAGGGCTAATCTAAGCTGGGAGCCAATCCTGGAGAATAACAGCATGCCTTCTGGGGAATGTGTTTAAACATGCTTAGCACAGCACTGTAAAAGTGAAAGATTAGAAACCTCCCCATGCTGACCAACAGGTAAATGTCTAAGTAAAATGAGAAATGGCCATGGGGCCAATGCATAAGGCAAGCAGAGTCCGGCTAGAGTCAGTTGGTTTGATTGCAATCACAAAGGGTATGTTGGAGCTCTCATGGGAGATGAAATCTGGGCTAGAGCTGGTTTTCATCGTCCAAGGTGATTTTGCTCTGTGAAGTTACTGAAACACCGAATTAATGAATATGGAATTATTTCTCTTATGCAAAGTACGGGCAGGATTGGTTGCAATGTGCCTCTGGTCACCTGACATTTTTGTCAGCTGGTCAATATATAATCCATTTGGAGACAACAAATTTAATGCTATAGTTGACTCACTAACCTTGAACTCATGGCCAGCAATGGCCCTGACACATTCTTAGTGCAGGATATTTGATCACTCTGTGAACCCTGAGATTGCTTTATTTACTGGAAAACCTCTTTCTAGTTGTGGTGTGACTCAGCTCTAGCACACACCTTTAATCCAAGAGCTTTCTGCTTGAATATTGTAAACAGGATTAAATAAAGTCAACCATCGGTCAAGAGGTGGAGCAAGCAACCAGTTAGCAGGAAGATTATTAAGAAAAAAACCATAAAGCAGGTGTCAGGAGGATGGCTAGAGAGACACACAGGAAGTAGAAGGGAGGGACATTGAGTTTCAAGAGACTTCTGCTGAGACAGTAGGAGGGAGAAGAGGTTTGAGGGTGACAGAGGAGGAAGGACAGCTGGGTGCTTTCATTGCTATCCGACTTTCCTCCCAGCGTTTTGCTCCCGAGTCTTCATTGGTAAAACTGAACGACTGAAACTTTGTTTAAAACAGTGCATTCTAGATTGAAATATTTTAATATATTCATTTCTCCAAAAGGGCATATCATAGCTTTTTTTGTACTTGGTCATTTCAAACAGGAAAATTACCTACAAAACCCACAAAAATGTAAAAAGTTCACTGCTGCCTGGAATATGAGAACCATTTGTTATGAAGCAATGCTACCTTGTCCAGCCCAGCCAAGGCTGTCCAGATCAGGAGACATACAGTTGTCACCTCCCGGCACTCAATGCTGCTCGTGAAAGAGCTGCATTGATCTGGGGTTAAAAGGACCCTTCAGGGGCTGGAGAGATGGCTCAGTGGTTAAGAGCATTGCCTGCTCTTCCAAAGGTCCTGAGTTCAATTCCCAGCAACCACATGGTGGCTCACAACCATCTGTAAAGAGGTCTGGCACCCTCTTCTGGCCTTCAGGCATACAGACAGAATATTGTATACATAATAAATAAATAAATATTTTAAAAAAAAAGGACCCTTCAGTGATAGGCGAATTCACAGATATGGAATCCGTGAATAATGAGGGTCAAGTTATATGGCCTCTCATGTTAATGTCTTTGAAATTAAAGCACATTTTGGGTTCTGTAAAAATACAGTGGTTGAGTCAACACAGATGGAATTTGTGATTAATGTTGACTGAAAACCCAAGTCAATAGCTAGAGATAGAAGTATATATGATGTTCCCAAATATGTAAAATAAAACACTGTGATACTTTGAGAGACAGATGGCCCGGCAGTTAGCAGTACTGACTGCTCTTCCAGAGGACCTTGGTTCAATTCCCAGCTCGCCGTGGCAGTTCCCAACCATCTGTAACCCCAGTTCTAGAGGACTAGATGCCTTCTTCTGGCCTCCTCAGGCATCAGGCACACGTGTGGTACACAGACATGCATGTCTGCAAAACACTCATACGCATAGAATAAAAGACACCCTAAAAAAAAACCACCCTGATACTTTCCCTTTGCTATGAAATGGTTAAATAGGTATTAAGTATTCCCCAGGCACTGAGATCTGTGCTGGCCACTCTAAGTTCAGTTAACCCTCGCAAGACCCTTAGGAGGTTGATGCGATGTTTATCTTCATTTAATATAAAGAGATTAAAATTTTCTCAGGGTCACAAAAAGGTCACCCATTTCTGCCTGTAGTAAAAATAATTGAATTTAGCTTACAGCTTCCCTTATGTGATTTGTATCCTAACAGGGGCTAAAACACAGCCCTTAGCTCAGAACAGTATGTTCTAAATTACACTGTTATAAAAGTCTCATTCCCCTAGCTCATATATTGCTGTCTTAGAGTTTCTATTGTTGTGGTAAAACACCATGACCAAAGGCAGGTTACAACTCTTGGGTCAAGATCCATCACTGAGGGAAGACATGGCAGGAACCTGGAGGCAGAAACAGAAGCAGAGTGCTGTTTACTGGCTTGCTCCTTATGGCTCAGCTGGCCTTCTTTTCCTTCCTTCCTTCCTTCCTTCCTTCCTTCCTTCCTTCCTCCCTCCCTCCCTCCCTCTCTCCCTCCCTTTCTCCCTTCCTTCCTTCCCTCCCTCCCTCCCTCCCTTTCTCCCTCCCTTTCTCCCTTCCTTCCCTCCTTCCCTCCCTCCCTTCCTCCCTCCCTCCCTCCTTCCTTCCTTCCCTCCCTTCCTCCCTCCCTCAGAGATTGGCCCTTCCTTCTTTCCTTTCTTCATTCCCTCCCTCCCTCCCTCCCTCCCTCCCTCCCTCCCTCTCTTCCTCCCTTAGAGATGGGCCCTCAGATCACTCAGCCATAAGAAAATACTCCACAGGCCAATCTGGTGGGGGGCATTTTCTCAGCTGAGGTTCACTCATCCCAAGTGACCCTAGCGTGTGTCACATTAACATAACTAGCCAACACACTTGGCCATAACATTTCTTACTTAGATGCAAAGAGATGTATATTAGAGGTGTGTGTAGCTAAGATGGACTACTCCCTATCTACCAGATAAACACAGGACTGCTCCTCAAAGTTCCCTATATTGTATAAGCTTGAGAAGGCTATTTTCTCATTTGGACATCTTTTGTGTATGAGAACACTTACGTAATGTGTTCTGTTAACACCAATGCCTGTTCATTTTAAATATGCTCAAGTTATACTAGATTGATAAAAGTCATAAATGGAGATGTTAACAAACAACAAGAATTGTATGAGCTCCAGGAAGACTTACATAAGAATCTATGTGTCTGAAGCTTAGGTACTTTAAGAAACTAAATGCAGAAATATTTAAAATTAAAACACAGTTACCTTGACATTATGAAGCATTTAAATGCATTGTTTTTCCAAATTTTCTTTATACTTAATATGGATTTAAAAGTACATTGTTCTAAGATTTTATGATCTTGGGAGATTGTGGGTGCTTTAATACATCTTTATTTAATCGGTAGCTTTCCCTCACCCCCTCCACTTCTGCCTACTCAAGGTTCCATGTTGCATTCTGGAATCAGAATTCTGATGTTTCTGCCTGTCAAATGGTGTTATTCAATTGAAGCTGAGGGCTGAAGAGATGGCTCAGAGGTCAAGAGCACTGGCTGCTCTTCCAGAGGTCCTGAGTTCAATTCCCAGCAACCACATGGTGGCTTACAACCATCTGTAATGAGATCAGATGCCCTCTTCTGGCCTGCAGGCCTACATGCAGGCAGAATACTCTATATATAATAAATAAATAAATCTTTAATAAATAAATTGAATCTGAAATTTCTGTATTTGTAGGTCCAAAATCAAACAGATATCAGTGATTTCATATAGTCCAGCTCTTCCCCTTTCAGCCGGCATGGTCCTTTGTTTATTCATTGCTGGCACATTTATCAGGATGTGTCTTGTCATCCTGAGACAGTGACCCTCCCTGCTGACAGGGACTCCAGTTTGCTTCTCTTGGGTTCAGCCCTCTCCTTCACGGGCTCCCAAGGCACATTTGCTGGATAGAACGAAGCCAAGGGAAGGCGTCTCTGTTCACTTTCTCCGTCTTCTTTTGCAGCGGTCCACATGTGCAGTGTCTTGGAACACAACTGTGCCCACTTCTGCATCAACACACCCGGCTCGTACACCTGCAGGTGCAAGCAAGGGTACATTCTCAACGCGGACCAGAAGACTTGCAGAAGTAAGGCCGCTTGGCGGTGTGTCAGTGTTGCTTGCTCTTTAGCTGGGTGCGTCTTACTCACCCACAGTTCCACCTCCTCGAGGCAAGAAGCAGCTTGTGTATTTTCTGGGAGTTCCCCTCACCCTACCATCACGGTGCCTAAGCCCAGTGCAGAGCAGGCCGCCAGGCAGCGTGTGAAAGGTTGGAACATACTGTCTCAGAATAGTCTTTCACGTCTGTGCTGCCTCTTGGTGGAAGCGGGCCAAGTGTCTTTCCGTCCTGGCTTTATTAGCTGGGCCCTAAGGAGCTGTTTCTGTTTTATCTTCTTCCCAAGGCATGGACTTAAGATGTGATTAACCTCAGCTGGGAGTGATTCTGCACACTCGTTTTAGAGGTGAGCAGAATCTGGCTGCTTCAGTGATAGACATTTTATTGTTCTCCTAATTTAAAAAAAAGGACAGATACAAAAAGAATTTATATTGTTCTTCTCTGGCCTGACTCCCGAAACTAGACAATATAATTTAAGCAAGCAGGAGGTACCCTAGCTCTTCAAGGATAGAATTAACGGTACAATGAGTGTACGCCCTTTATTATTAGAATTATTATTCTCCTTACATTGTATGTGTAGCCAGTGCTTTAACCACAAAGCCTGGACTAGGCACACGAGGCCTGAGAAGATTGGCTGCAAGGAAGCAAACAGCTCCGCTAGGTCTGACGTGTAGTTCATGCAATGCAGAACTGTTATTATACCAATGGCACGCTATCAAGCACTAATGGAAAGCAGTTTGCACAAATGGCTGTAATTAGCGCTGCATTTATAAAGCCAAACCACAGTTTCCACTTTCCTTCTCACTTCTTAGTTTCAGCACTGAGGGGTTGATGGAAGGTCCTCCCTGTCCTCTAATACTAGGGCATATCTGCTGGGCTCTCTGCTCTGGGTCCCCAAAAGCTCGTAGGCTCCTCTGGGGTCCCAGGACTCAGTTGGAGCCGCCACCATGTTTTACTGGAACCTCTGACACTTCCTCGGGTTCTACAGCAAAACCCGGTCACAGCAAATTCTCATGGGTTTAATAAAATCTACTGACCAGCAGAGGAAGGATCATCTAGAATCATCCCACACTGCTCTTGGTCATCTTGTTCTCTTCAGGTGCATCCGGACACCTTGCCCACTCCCTCCCTCCCCTCCCCTGAGGAGCATAAAACATTCTGTGTCTCATGACCTATACTTGTCAGGGATCTGGGAAGCTGCAGTGCCTGGGAGCCCAGGGCTGGCTTAAACATGCCAGATGAGCTCTGACACCAATTGTGGTGGTTTGAAAGAACGTGACCCCCAAAGGGAGTGGCACCATTAGGAGGTGTGGCCTTGCTGGAGGAAGTGCGTCACTGTGGTGGCAGCTTTGAGGTCTCTTGCTCAAGCTTCCCTCAGCGTGACTTTCAGTTGTCTTCCTGTTGCCTGTAAGATGTAGCACTCTCAGCTCCAGCACCGCCTCTGCCTGCATGCTGCCATGCTCCCCTTCATGATGATAGTGGACTGAACCTCCGAATCTGTAAGTGAGCCACCCCAATTAAATGCTTTCTTTATAAGAGTATGCCATGGTCATGGTGTCTCTTCACTGCAATAAAAACCTTAAGTAAGACACCAATAGGTAGGTAGGTAGATGGATGAATGGACAGATGGACGACAGACAGACAGAGCTAAAGAGCTGTCCTTCCTCAGTTCTCCCTTGGTCCATTGTAGGTCCTGATGTCCTTGCCTTCAGCCTTAGGGAAAAAGGAAAGCACTGAAGTCGGCCTTTGCTAGGGCAGCAGCATCTAAGAACTTGAAGCAGGAACTCCCTGGGCTTTACACAGATGCTTAGGAGAAGGAGCAGGGACATCCCAGGTAAAGGAGGGACAGAAGCTTCAGGAGCAATTCAGAAAGCAATTCCCAGAGTCCTCAGAGATTCTGACTTTGCAAGTCCAGGTTTTCTCTTTGTTCTTTTTTTTTTTTTTCAACTTAAGCAGAAATTTATTTAGCAAAGAAAAAGAAATATTCCAAAGAGTATTTCATTGGACTGGGCTTCCCAAAGGCAAGGGGCATCCTAATGAGTTCTTTATTGTGTTCTTAAAGTGTTTTAAAATATTTATGAGATAAGTATCATAGTTATGGGATGACTCCTCCCCCAGACCATGATGGACTGGCTCTCCTTTCATGGTATTTCTTCCCATGATAGCTACAAAAGGGAGGCAAGGCCAAAATCATCATGAAGGTGATGTTATAATGATGTCAGGGTTTTTTTTTATTTATTTTTTGTTTTTCAAGACAGGGGTCTCTGTGTAACAACCCTGACTGCCCTGGAACTCACTCTATAAACCAGTTGTTGGGACTAAAGGTGTGTGCCACCACTGCCTGGCTCTCTTGGTTCTTTTTTTTTACAAAATGATTTATTTTATGTTTGTGTATGGGTGTTTTACCTACATTAAGGTCTGTGCACCATATGCATGCAGTATCTCCGGAGGCCAGAAGAGGGAGTCAGATCCTCTGGAACTGAAGTTCCAGATGGTTGTGAGCTGCCAAGTGGGTTCTGAGAATCAAACGTGGGTCCCCTGCAAGGACAAGTGCTCTGAATGCTGAGCCTTCTCTTCAGCCTCTTCTTCTTCCTCCCCTTCTGGCTCCTCTTCCCAAAAGCTTACTGTTATTTGTAATTATTGGTGTATCTGTGTCATAGAGGCCAAAGGTATTATTCCAATGAGCAGGTGATTGTGAGTTACCTAATATGGGTTCTGGGAAGTGAACACAAGTCTTCTTACCCTCTAAATAATCTCTCCAGCCTCTTCTCTTTTCTGAAACATGGTTTCACTCTGTGAGTGAAGCTAGAACCCTCCATCCTCCTGAGCACTGGAATTACAGGTTTGCATCAATATGTCTGGCTTCAGGTCTAAAGTTTCAGAGAACTTCTGCCCCATTGCTCTTGCCCCTCAAGGTCCCAAAACCTTGGGCAGTGAGGGCCTGGAAAAGTGGGGGAGCTGAAGTGGGACTCGGTGTAACGCCTGCACTATGGAACGGTTCGCGAGCCGAGAAAGGGGCTGGAGATTTAAACGTATACATACAGAGACACGGGGACACGGGTCATCCTTGAAACAAGAATGCCAACTTTATTGTGCTCCAGGGAAGCTTGTATAGGAATCTTTAACTGGTAGCCACGCCCCAGCTCTTGGGATTTTCAGCTGTAAAACCCACCAGAACCCACTCCCCTGCCATCAGGAACTCGTGAGGGTCTCGTGCTCCAAGCAGCTGCAGGCACAGGCAAACAAGTTGCTTACTTCATTCACTCAGTGGGCAGGGGGATTTTGATGATGGCATAGTGGTCAAGCTTGTCTCTCCTGGGTGCGTTCTTTCTTGGAGGGCATTTGGGCTGCCTCCAGAGCCTCGGCGTCTTGGGCCACCAGAAGGTGGGTGACGTGTGACATGTGGATCTTCTTTTTGTGGCTGTGGACATCTTTCAGCACTGCCTTCTTGGTTTTCTTCTTGGCTTCTTCACTTCAGCTTTGGATTTGGGAAGGGCAGGAGCTCCCTCCTTCACTTTCAGTACCACCTTGGTGAAAAGGGTTGCCCCTCTGACTTAAATGTGAAAGAAAAATTTTCCTTCCCCTTTGGGTCATTATTTTATGCGGAAGTGAATGAAAAGGCAACATTTATAAAATCTCATTTGTCAGAAAAATATAAACTTTGTATATGGATTTGCCTTTGTTTCTGTCTCAGGACCCATACCAAAGGCATTATGTTGCTTTTATTCTTGAGAAATGTTCCTGACACAATTTTTCCATGCTGTAGAAGTGACTCTATGTCTATTTATTTATTTATTTATTTATTTATTTATTTATTATATATACAACATTCCTTCCATGTATGTTTACATGCCAGAAGAGGACACCAGATCTCATTACAGATGGTTGTGAGCCACCATGTGGTTGTTGGGAATTGAACTCAGGACCTCTGGAAGAGCAGTCAGTGCTCCTAACCTCTGAGCCACCTCTCCAGCCCCCATCTATGTCTTTATGTTAAAGTATAAAGAAAGATCATTGTCCAGGAAAACAAAAGAAAAACCAGAATGGCATGGGCTTTTGAAACCTCAGCTCAGCTCCCAGTGATACACTTCCTCCAACAATGAATGTGTGAGCTGGGACATAGGATGGAGCAGTTGGAAATTCGAACTGAGTTCCAACTGTGTCCTTGGTGACTGAAGGAGCCGAACATGTGTGTCGAGGGCAAAGTTGCAATTAGTCCTGCATATTAAAATCACAGTTGGCTCTGACATTAATGTATGCTCTGCACTAGAAGGCAGAGAATGGCTCAAGGATGTCATTCACTTCTTTCCCTGTGGGCTCCTTTCTGTGGGCGGGCTCTCTTACTGGGCATTTCGCTTGTATTTGTGAAACTTAAACTAAAATTTAGCTTCCCATATCCCCCCCCCCCTTCCACGCAGTTCCAGTTCACGGTGCATCCCTTATTCCTGCAGAATTAGCTAGGCCACAGCCACTGTTTGTCCCAAGGAGGTCTTTGTGACATGAAGCAGGGTGGGTGGGTGGGTAGGTGGTAGCATTGAGACTGGCAGATTTCCCCACAGAGAAACATGGTTTTGAGAGCAAACTGGAGTCCGGGAGCTAAGCCATACAGGTGCCTAGAGAAGGAAGATGTTTGCTCAAGGGAAAACCCAGGCTGGACATGCTTGTTGGTGGTGATTGACCAGAGAACCCTAGAGGAAGAAGGGTGTGTGTGGAAGGTGAGGAGCAAGGAGTAAGTGCTGGAGCAGTTCACATGTCTGAACATGACACACACACACACACACACACACAGAGGCAGGGGAAGGAACAAGAGTAGAAGAGTGAACATGACAGACAGACAGACACACACACACACACAGGCAGGGGAAGGGACAAGAACAGAAGCATGAACATGACAAACAGACAGACAGACAGACAGACAGACACACAGAGGCAGGGGAAGGGACAAGAACGGAAGCATGAACATGACAGACAGA